GTACTTTCTTAAAAATTTTTTTTAATTGGTTACAGGTGTCTGGTATAGCCCCTTAAATGGTTACATGGGTTTCCTTGGGTAAAAGCCAGCCTTTTTTCAAGAATATTTTTCTCGTATTAAAGATTAAATTATTTATTAGAATTTTTTATTTTTACAAACATACACTATTAAGAAAGAAATTCTGAAATTTTTGGAAAAAAAGTATTGCGATGCCATTTCCGGTGACCCCTCGGAAAAAATATGAGAACGCGTTGCAGGATAAGGAGTGATCATCATCATAATACAAAGTAAAAAACACTTCTTTTAGTTAAAACCTTAACAAGAACATGGATGATGAAAAAACAACTGAAAATTGGATTTTTGGCAGACATTTTTAAATAAAAAAAGAAAATTTAAGTGAAAATTTCGCGACAATATTTTTTTCAAATAGTGGTAATCGAAAAAAAAATCCTTCGTTCAAGTCTTTAAGCATTGTATCTCAAAGATATTCGTAAAATTTTATGAAGATCGGTTGAGTACCTCTCGGGAAATCTTGCCAACCGACTTCAAAAACATAGTTTCGAGAAAAACGCGTTTAAAGATGGCGCACTTAGCCCCGCTAGCCTCGAGCGCACAAGTTCCCCTGAAATATTCGAGAAGTTACATAAAATTTACGAAAGATACAATATATATAATCCGAAATACAATAATTACTGGAAAACACAATGAATCCATGCTTTATGGCGCTCATTTTGCCTATACAGATCTTTGCAAACAAGTGGTTGCTTCGTCTGTCCTTGAACAGAGATAGAACTCATCAAGCCAAATTTTGCTATCGCGCTAATTCTTCTTAAACAATTCTTCATCAACGCACGTAAAAAGATATATAATACATATTGTGTACCTCACGAACCAGCTGTTCCACAACCTCGAAATTTATATGCCTACATACGTGTCTTGTGAAGGTTAGATCAAACTATTAAACATATGAGTTTAATTGTCTCTCATAGAAATTTTACGAATCTGCCTATAAGATACCTATGAAAATTTTCGTTCGAAAACTCTTTCTCGATCCGACTGAATGATTAAATTTTTATTACACTCCAATAGAGGTTCCTTAAAAGCCGCTATCGCCGGCGTTTGTGGAAAAATAATTTTTTTTTTTAATTGTGGAGAAATAGTGGAGATAGATAAGATCTGCACCTTTTATCACTGCAGGCATAACTTCTGAAGCTGATGACTTCTAACTATTTTTGTTTTCATTTCCATAATCTCAACGAGATACTTATATTGGAGCGTCAACAACCTGCTTGTCAACATATAATATATGTATGTATGTACTATATTTACACACCTGACATATTTGTTATACACATACTTATATAGCAACCACATGATTTTAACACTTCTTGCAGTCATGTTTAGGATGTCTACATTTTTTGTTGTTGCGGTTATCTTTTCACTATTGTTCTTTCTTGTTTACACACTGTACGTTTTGTTATTTTTTATACACAAAGAACTAAAACAACCTTTGTATTTGGCGCTACCTGTTGAAGCGCGCAAATAAATCGCACTTGTTTTCACACCTCACGGTTGTTGTTGGTGAAAACAACACTTTATTTCGGGTGCGCCAATCGGACTATTGTTGTATAGTTGTTTGTTTTGTGTCGCTAATGTGGCCTGTTGGCAGTGTCTATTTAGTTTTTTTCTCATCTTCTTGAACCTGTCGTCATTTTATTTGTTTAGAACGGTTTTAGTTATTTTAGAGTTGCTTTTTGTTGGCGATCACGCAATCGACATACTTGGCATGTTTACACGTGTTGGTCAGAATGTCAAATAATTGGATAACTAAATTAGTTCAGCAAATATATGAAATCACAAATGTTTTTGTTTTTATAATTCTAAAACTGATACTCGCATAATATTCTGCAACTTATTTATTCTAATGTTGTGGAATAATTAATTCCTAACTAATTCTTAACCGATTTTTTTTTAAATACTATTTTCTATTTTTCAAATATTAGAACATTACTTCTAAATGCCACTCTCTAAGATAACCTCGGCCTTATAGAATAGCTGAGACAGTCGATTTTCAAAAGCTTCTCTTAAAGCGAATTTTCCACCAACAAAATCATTTGCCATAGAAAGGAACAGGTAGTAAACACTTGGCGCCAGGCCCGTACTATAAATGGTTCGAATAAAAACTACCTAACCAAGCTTCCCGAGCTTCTGGCGAGTCAATTTCGAAGTTTATATCCTGTTATTCCTGGATTGGTCTTCCATTGCTTAATGCATATTTGTCATCAAAATTACCGGATCGGAATCGATGGAACCAAAATTGCGCATGATTGACTCGGCCATAATATCTTCCAGTCATCACAAGCTCTCTTAACTGTACAATTCAGAGGAACAGCTTTTGAACCTCCACTTCGTCAACATATTTGATAAGATATGAGTTGATCTATGAGTGATGTCGGGTTGCTGAAAATTACTTTGTTCATTTCATAATGATATTTTGATGTTATTCTCTTGACTTTATATAATTTCCTCTTAAATATCATACGTTTTGTAGTTGAGATTGTTTGTCGACGAGGTACATTATTAACCGCTGACATATTCATGCAAAAGATCAAGTACTTAGATCTAGTTAGGTGGTCCTCAGCGCAATATCGAGATTCTGTGAATGTGAAAACAGTTCTTTGACTCGTTGAAAACCTGACGCACAACCCAGCCAGTCATTGTGATATTTTGGTGTTAGAAATTTGATTATTGGGAAGTTATTTTAGCAAAGTAATTTTATCGATTTATTTAAACTTCACCGTAATATTTAATTCTTTATCTATCGATTTTTTTATTTTGTGGCATGGAAACGTTGAAATACCTGCCAGCTTTATTGTTTGCAATAAAACTTTCAATTTAATTATAGTAAATACATCATAAATGTAGTATTGATAAGATAAGGGAATGATAATCTTAGGTAAGATTATGGTGATCGTATACTACAAAAATTGAATGAAGTCGTTAGGAAGAATTATTTAGCAGGCATTAAGAGATTCTGAAGAGAATTTTGAAAATAACTCTAGATAGTTATGCTATTTTTTTGGAGATTCTAAATATTTTGTTAATGCGTACATTTTTTAATAATTTGTAATAAAAAATTGTCTTCAGAATTTCATAACAACTACTAAATATTCTTTTCCTTTAAGTTCTGGTTTATTCTTAGACAAATTTCTTTGATAATTTTTATCTGGCTTCTATAGTTTATACATAGATGTTCGTTTGAATAATAGTTTTTTAATTTTCATTGTAAATTTGCGAAATTTCTTGGAATAGATTGTGTTGGCACAGGTGTTGGAACCGTGGCATTAGTGGTGAATCAGTTAAGTACTTCGAAAGTGATAGTGGTAAAAACGGCGATAACACTTACTTTGAAATGAGTAGCTACTATCATTATTCCCCTGATTGCTGATCATTCGCGTTATATCCGGCGCCCTGTGTTGCTCCCATTTACGGTGTGTGTCATGTGTTACTCTGTTGCACGTGAAATTCATTATGGTTATAGATAATTATTTTATCACTTTTTATGTGTGAGTAACATTTTTTAGTATCTTCGTATCACTATTACACTGGTTACTTTTTGTTCTCAATACATACAGCCGTTGACAGCTAAATAGAAACTTTAACTTTTTTTAGGTGGCTGACAAGTATAATGATAAAAAATTTTAATATACCATTATTTATATTCCTAAAAGTCAAAAATCACTCTGTTTTGTAGTTCTGAAGTTAAAATTCTTTTATTTTTTCCCTAAATAGAAATTAGAAACAGTTACTTAAAGATTTAAAATTCCTCAAGATGTTAGTTTTGATTAATAACTTTATTGATTTCTGGTAAGGGTGGGTTTGGAAGTTGTGGTTTAAAATATATTAAAATGTATTATTCAAGTTTTTTAATGAGTAAACGCTCCCCGAAAAACTTCAACATTCCATCTCCGGAAGAGAGCCAAAAAAAGAGTTGCACTGACGTTCTACATAAAATTAAAGACGAATAAAATATCCAAATATTCAAGAAAGCAATTGCCCGGCGCTTAGTCGAACTCGGATTTCACGGCAAAAAAAAAATCAAAGGAAATAATGTGTAGACTTTTCCAACGCTTATTGATCTTGGACAACAAATAAATGGAAGTATGTTGTTTGGAGCGATGTAACAAAATAAATGGCATAGATCCTGATGGTCGAAAGTATGTTTGCCGACCAATCTAACAAGAATTAGATCCTCGCTATGTTTCACGTGAATTTTTTACCCGTGGTGAAGTAGCTCCGCTCCATATGATTGACGTAATTTTAAATAAGGAGAAGTATGTCGACATCGTAAAAAATGGCATTCTGCCTTGGACTAAGGACGATTTGCCTGTTGTCAGATAGCAAAGTCTACACAAAAGTTTTTTGCTGAAAATTCCATTAATTTTTTGGAGTGGCATTAAGAGAACACATCTCTGTTGATGTCAAAAAAGCTGTAGGTACCAAAAATATCAAAAATATCGATGTCCGTTTTGATGAAATTAGGACGGCATGGCAAGCAATACTAGTGGTGTGCTGCCAGAGTCTTATAACGTCACTTCGCAATGGATATGAAACAGTATTAAAGTAAAAGGGTTAAGCAACAAAATACTAACTGAAAGTAAGCAATATTTCTAATAGCAATATTTTTTGCTGATAAAAAATTTTCGTTGTCGCAATCAAATCATTGATTCCACACATTTTTGTTAAAATCTAAAAAAAACACTATTTTTTTTATTAAAATTTTTGCTATGAGAGTTTAAGTTTAATGTAAGTTTCAAAAAAATGAGGGGAAAAACGGTAAAAATAAGTGATTTATTAGAAAATAATATCATTTACTTCAAAATAAGTAGCGTTTCTAATTAGCTGTCAATGGCTGTATATACTCCTTATCTACATTATATGCATAATAAATTATATATGATAATTTTTTATTATATATTTCCTTTGATTCCGTTTTGCAGATTCTTGGCATTATTTGTATGGCCTGTGCTTCACCCGCTTATTTGTCGGCTACTTCATTCTTCCTCTTTGTGGTTGTGATTTCGTTTATTGCGACAATTTTATGGATTTTCGCCTATTTTTTGGGTATACGTGAAGCACTGAATGTGGCTGTCAACTGGATATTCACAGTGAGTTAAAATTATGATAATTAATATACAGTATTTCCCCACTTAAATGATACTCGTAGTAGTTTGCACAACTTTTTATTTATTTTTTATTTAAGCACATATTAGAATAATCAATTAAAATCAATTTCATATTTTATTTCATTTATTTCACACTCTATTAACTGATATTTAACCTAAAATAAGTAAACCCAAACTTTCATAATAATTTATACTTCAGTAGGATGTCTGACAAATACTGAGGAAACTTGACTTCGAAATTTTTAGTCTTAATTACAAACACGGTCCGATAAATATTGTACTTATTTAGATATAACGCCCGATGATGCTCATATCGCAAGAAACATTTATTATTTTGGAGGACATTACCATAGTTGGCTCCTGTCAAAACTTTAAAATGCAAACTTGTAGTTTTGTTCTGTCTGCGGGTAAAAGCGAGCGAGTCCGAAATTTTTTGAGAAATGTGAAAGAACAATATCGAAAGAACATTCCTGATTTTGCTAGGACGAACATTTAGTTGCTCTAAACCCCAGCTTTTCTCCTTCAGTGGCAACCATAAAAAAGTAATGAATTTCAATATACTTGCACGTCGGGTTTTGATGAGTCACAACCCAGTTCCTCGAAAACGACCACCATGGAGGATAACGTGATTCCTGATAATAATGGTATTAACAGATTTTCGATTAATGGGCATTAAATCGCTGGCACAGTGGGTATCTTGAAAGACTACGTGGTTCATATCATGTATTAAACATTCTGCATTAAAAAAGTGTCACGCGATGGGAGCTACGTTTGGTCAGTGCAATCGGGAGGCTAGAGCAATCTTTGATGCTTTTTAAGTGCAATTCAAATGATGTTTTGCGACGTTTGCTGACCATCGACGAAATATGAACCCACTGGTACACATCAGCTTCCGAGGGAGATTCAAAACGCTCGAAATTTGGCGAAGACTGCCTAATCACACCGAAAGGTGATGGCCACTATTTTGTGAGTTTCATAAGATGTGATCTACATCAACTATCCTGAGAAGCTCAAAGGGATTACAAAGTTCTTTTACGTCGGTCTGCTACTTTTGGCCGATTCGACCCCGAATTGCAGAAAAAACGATAACTTCGGCGAAAAAAGTGTCCCATTAATACGCAGCGGTGCATATCACCACGTTGTTTTCTAACTTGAAAAATTTCTTTAACGGAGAAGAAGTTAAAGTGGATTAAAAGTACTATCACCACCACGGCCTTTCATAGTACTTATCGGACCGCCTTCGTATTTTAATACTTAGGTTGAAAGTTCCAAGTCATAAACCACATTAATAATATGTTTGAATAAATATGTTGTAACGTTCACATGTCACGTCCAAACGACTTTTCCGAACGGTATTTAGTAGATTAATTACGTGGTAGTTGGCTTAGTTTACGTAATTCTATTCGTTTTCATAGCTCCAACTGACTATATTACCCGTAAGAGTTTATGTACTTTATCGACTCTTCGTTGGTGTGTTCGAACAGGGGCCCTATTCTGTATCTAGATTCGTAAATGTATTCTATTCGAAATTCAGATCTACTTTATAATTTTTCGAAAGTTGTACCACCCTGYRYCAGAATAAATACGTACAATTTTCGTTTTTGCTTTCTACAACTCAAAAGCTAACGAATATTTTATTCGAAAATTGGCTTGAAAATCCGAAAATCGAGTTACGGAATATAAAAAATTCGCATTCGAGTACATTTTGTTTCGAATCGAGTTACAGAATAGGCCCCCAGCTTCGTTCCGGGCGTTCGACTTCTGATGTGGATCGAATGTTTTGTAGCCGGGTTGTTGGTATTCAGGTTTCGGCAAAACCATAGAGTATAAGTGATCGTATCTGTCATTTGATGGTGGTCGTGCCCATATCTGGTTATGATCATATTTTCTTTCTCAATCTTACATCAATTTGGATTTTGAGAGGTTTTGGCTAGTCTTATGATCATTGCCTGTACCCACCTTTTGTTAAATTATTGTTTTTTCGGGTTTTGTGATTAAAGATAATTTATAACCTCTTAAGGGGTCAGTAGGGTATTTAGCCTGTTTTTGTGAACTTTTTTTCATAGAAATTTTTATTCTATAACAGAACTTTTTCACATTTCATAAGGTGTATCGTGGAGTGTATGAACAACATTTTTAGGAATTTTTTGATGACATCTGTCGGCGAAATGACTGGGTGAATAAGATGCGTTTTTTGTGTGTTATCTGAAACACAAAAACCCAATTTATTCTTAAAAAGTACGTGAATGGTTATCGTCCCTACTAGAATCATGAAAAAAATTGGTAAATGAAAAAGTAATTAATTTTTTTTTGTAATTTTTCCTCATGTTTTTTTTACATACATTTTGTCATAACATTGTCAATAAATTATAAAAAAAATATATGGACGACAGCCAGCCGTTTTGTGAACATTTAAAAAAAAAATTAAGCAAATCGGTTGAGGCCGGAATCATGTCCGCCAGTTCAAAAAAGTGAGTTTTGAAAAAAACGTTTTCAATGAGGTACTGAAAAAGCATAGAAAGATACACATAAACGTTGAAAAAACGTCGAGCGGTATTATTATTTTTGGGCCTTTTTCGAAACCTTTCAATAGTAAAGTGGGTGTCCACATTAATGCTAAGGGTATACGGGAACAGAAAATGCAAAAAAAAAAAAATAAAAAAAAAAAAAAAATTTAAGAAAGATTGCCCTACTGACCTCTTAAATTCGAATTCTTATCTCGTCAAGGATTATTAATCTAGTTTAAGTTATAAAAATAATATATAATCTGAAAATTGTAACTTTTTCTTTTACAAAATTTTACACTCCTCCATTTGTACTTTCACTGCAGGAATTGATCAACACCGCGATATGCGCCCTGCTGTACTTCATCGCGTTCGTTGTGCAATTGGCCAAATGGTCCAGCTATCCGAGTAGCCATGCGTATGGTTCCAATATTGCGGCCGGCGTTTTCGGTGTATTCAACTTTTTGGCCTACGCCGCTGGTACATATTTCCTGTATTTGTCGCACAAGGGCGCTGTTGCCTATTAAACAGACGAAGCGCGAATGAACAAAATTAAGAAGAAAAGCAATTAGCAAATTCAACAGCAACAGCAACATGTAGCTCACCTCAAACCAGAACTTATGCATACCACCAAAAGCACTGAGCACAACAACACATACATACATACAATCATATTGGAGCAATGATAAACTGATGCAACCATATGGCAACACCATGGAAGTAACATGTAAGTGTAGCTCATTGCTGTAATTAGTCAAGCAACAACAACAAGAACAAAGAAGAGAATGTTTAAAAAATCATAAAGCTAGTTTTTTTTAAACACTTATATTGGTAGTTTTCAACATTTAAAATGTTCGTGGAAATTTTAATTTTAGAAATAGGCGCTAAATGTAACTTTGTATGATTAATATTAACTATTATATATTATTTTGGTTCTAATTTAATTAGCTGCGCTGCCTTTTACATACAAAACAAACCCACATACATACATATGTACATACATATATGTACATATGAACTTTTTTGCATTTTTGTAAAGTAAAAATCTTCTTATTAACAAGCATAATATTCAAAAATTTTGAAAATCACTAAATATGAAAATATCTTAAACTTCAAGTTTTTCTACTTTTATATGTCGTAATATTTTAAATATAAACATTTGCTCAGCACTACATATCTACATATCTACATACAATATTTTGTATTCTAATATTTCAAGGCATCAAAATGCCATAAATTATGCTACTTCTACACAAAAGGCGGAAAATGCGAAATATGTAAATACAATATAAAGTATGTATATATGTATATGTTGGTTGTGAATATGTTTCACAGAAGAAACCCTTAAATTTTCAAGCAATTTACTTTTTAATATTTTAAATTATGAATTAAATTTTTTTTTAACATTTTTGATGTGCAGGAAAGTTGTATGTAACTGTGCAACAAATAATATTTATAAAAAATAATAACTGCAATTTCATTGTTTGTTATATTAATATTTGTAAGAACAAAAAGATACACAGCTGTTTTTAATTAATAAAGTTATGTTTTATTTAAAGTGAATGAAATTGCATTTTTTTCGATAAAAATTGATGATTTTTTAAACACAAGTGAAGTAGATCGTAGATAATCAAAAATTATCGTTGTTATTACTTAAAAAAATATCCAATACCTTTTTACTCAAACGAATATTTTACTCTAATCAGGGTAGATAATTTTGTAAGCAAGCAAGAAAAAACGTAAATTTTGGTTTCACCGAAACTGGTATACCACTCACAATATAAGAACTTGATTCCGATCGTTCACTTTGTATGGCAGCTACATGCAATAGAGGTTCGATCTGGACAAATTCTTTAGATATAGTAGCGTTGTCTTAGAAAATAATCGATACCAAATTACATAAATATACGTATATCCTCAAATACAAAAGCTTTCCATACAAGGTCTGCCGATCGTTCACTTTGTAAGACATCGGCGATTCCGACGAATAAGCAGCTCCTTGGTTAGAAAAAGATGTGTGCAATATCTCGAGTATAAACTTCGAACAATCTTAATAGGGGTATAAAACAAAAAAATCGTCGAGACCTACGAATTTATGAAAAAAGTATAAGTTGATGATTCTATGAGTCATACTCAAGTGTATGCTCTATTTTCATGCGATAGTGAGGATTTAAATGAGAAGTCTAGGCCATCCACAAGCTAGCAATCGTGCAGAATTATTGAAGGAAGTCCATGAAATTATTGCGATCGATGCAAATTGTATTACGAGATTGTTAGCTTGGGAAATAAATACGGAGAATTTTTGACTTTAAGAAAGATATGTGTGCTTTTTATTCCTTATGAGCTGAATGCAGTGAGTTTTGATGAAAAAACGGATTTCTCTCATAGAGCACTCTTAATATTATTATCCTCCTCTATCACCATATGACTATTTTCAACTTACAGAACAGAAAACCACCATGAATAATGCATAATTGAAAGGACTATTTTATCATATTTTTATTATTTATATAGCATTTATGTATATGTATTTATTGCAGCCACTCAAGTAGCCGAAACCGTTGTGCTGAAAAGATACCAATAAACGTTGTATTGGGTCTAATGGAACCTATTTTGAATAAACAATAATTTTAAAAGATAATATTGTATAATGTGTATTTTGTTTTATATCCACATAGTTAGCTAATTTTTAAGACACACTTCTACTTTGCGTCCTCTAGGCGAAAGGACGCTTGATGAAAATGTACTTGTTTCTTTGTTTTAGTTTTAGACCCAATTTGATTCTTTTTACCTTTCAAATGCAAACCAAACTGTTTTTATAATAGAGAAAGAGAAACAGAATATTTCGCGGAATCAATACCCTTAGCGTGGACAGATGATGAGCCAAGATATTCAAAAGGGACAGCAAACGATCCGGTGGCGTGCGTAAATTCTTGCCGGTGACAAAAAGGAGGATACAAAAACTAAATATTTAGCGTAAACATGATTACAATAGTACGTATAAGCAATAGTTATTTAAAGCAATAAGTCCAAAACTCCATTAGCCATGTAGCCCTTAGAGTACTGCATAATTCAATAAAAAACGCAAAAAATAAATCAAGAAACTATTACATTTCAGAAAACTAAATGGCAAATAAAACCCAAATATTTAATAATTTAATTTAATTCATAAGCAAAATTGACTTGCACGAAATCTGGTCATATACAATTTTTTTAAACAACATCACCATCCACGAAACCAAAAACTGAATACCAAAATCATCAGCATCACTTAAGAATTGCAGAATTTACGAATACTCACTGTTTTCTTTATTTTTTCCAACTTTCCACAACTTCTCACAAATCCCTTTAATTTGACACCAAATTCATCAAAATCGGTTAAGATTTGCCGAATTTACAAAAAATTTATAAGTTTCTTCATTTCTTACAATTTTCCACAACTTCTCACAAACCCCTTTAATTTGACACCAAAATCATCAAAATCGGTTCAGATTTACCAAAATTCCGAAAAAATCATAATTTTCTTCATTTCTTACAATTTTCCAAAACTCCTCTCAAATCCCTTTAATTTGACACCAAAATCATCAAAATCATTTAAGAATTGCCGAAATTACGAAAAAATCATAATTTCCTTCATTTCTTACAATTTTCCAAAACTCCTCTCAAATCCCTTTAATTTGACACCAAAATCATCAAAATCAGTTAAGATTTGCGGAATTTACAAAAAATTTATACTTTTCTTCATTTCTTACAATTTTCCAAAACTCCTCTCAAGTCCCTTTAATTTGGCACCAAAATCATCAAAATCGGTTAAGAATTGCCGAAGTTACGAAAAAATTACAATCTGGTCACCCCAGCCCAGGCGGCGCAAACAAAAAATTTCATTTCCCAAATCGCCAATTTGCACCAGGCGCCCAGAATCGCCCAGTAGGTAGCTGCCGCAAAAAAAAAATTTTTCCTGTAGCCTACCTCAAAGGCGCAAGTGGAACTGCTTTAGCAACAACTGCAAAACAGGCGGAAGTACGGTCTGCTGGCACATTAACACCAATAACTTCTATAATTCGCCACCGATTTTGATCATACAGGCACCAAATGAAAGGGCAAGCGTGCAGCTACACGATCAAATGCTAGTAAATTATAACAAACTACAAATAGAAGATATTTTTGAAGAAAATGTGTCGAAGAAACTCTATGACAAAAAACCGAAAATTTTATATTAATAAAGTGATATGAAAGAATCTTCGTGTTACCAATCACTAGATATACGCTTCATAAGTATATTCTGTTAACGGCAGCATTTCAACTTCAACACATTCTTAATTAATGCATGTTTCTGAATAGTTCCTTCATAGCTGAATTGCTATGCTTACGTAACAGATGAAAGTAAGTGCATACACTTATGTGTTCTAGAAGCGATTACCTTTTATTTGCCACCAACAGCATTGAAATCGGCTGAAATTTAGCAAAGTTATAGCGAATATGCAGAACCGATCGCATATTCTGCATTAGTACTGCATTATCCACCATTTCCTGTAGATGCGTGCCCGATAACTACTTTGGTAAAACTCAACCGATTTCGATAATTTTGGTGACAAACGAAAGGTAATCGCTTCTAGAACACATAAGTGTATGCACTTACTTTCATCTGTTACCTAAGCATGGAAATTCAGCTAGAAAGAAACTATTCAAAAACATGCATTAATTAAGAATGTGTTGAAGTTGAAATGTTGCCGTTAACACAATATACTTATGAAGCGTATATCTAGTGATTGGTAACACGAACATTCTTTCATATCACTTTATTAGTATAAAAGTTTCAGTTTGTTATCATAGAGTTTCTGCGAAACATTTTCTTCAAAAATATCTTCTATTTGTAGTTTGTTATAATTTACTAGTATTTGATCGTGTAGCCGCACGCTTGCCCTTTCATTTGGTGCCTGTATGATCAAAATCGGTGGAGAATTATAGAAGTTATTCGTGTTAATGTGCCAGCAGACCGTACTTCCGCCTGTTTTGCAGGTGTTGCTAAAGCAGTTCCACTTGCGCCTTTGAGGTAGGCTACAGGAAAAAATATTTTTTTGCGGCAGCTACCTACTGGGCGATTCTGGGCGCCTGGTGCAAATTGGCGATTTGGGAAATGAAATTTTTTGTTTGCGCCGCCTGGGATGGGGTGACCAGATTGTAATTTTTTCGTAACTTCGGCAAATCTTAACCGATTTAAATGATTTTGGTGTCAAATTAAAGGGGTTCGAGAGGAGTTTTGAAAAATTGTAAGAAATGAAGAAAATTATGATTTTTTCGTAATTTTGGTAAATCTTAGCCGATTATGATGGTATTGGTGTCAAATTAAAGGGATTTGAGAGGAGTTTTGGAAAATTGTAAGAAATGAAGAAAATTATGATTTTTTCGTAAATTCGGCGAATCTTAACCGATTTTGATGATTTTGGTGTCAAATTAAAGGGATTTGAGAGAAGTTTTGGAAAATTGTAAGAAATGAAGAAAATTATGATTTTTTCGTAACTTCGGCAAATCTTAACCGATTTTGATGATTTTGGTATCAAATTAAAGGGATTTGAGAGAAGTTTTGAAAAATTGTAAAAAATGAGGAAAATTATGATTTTTTCGTAACTTCGGCGAATCTTAACCGATTTTGATGATTTTGGTATCAAATTAAAGGGATTTGAGAGAAGTTTTGAAAAATTGTAAGAAATGAAGAAAATTATGATTTTTTCGTAATTTTGGTAAATCTTAACCGATTTTGATGATTTTGGTATCAAATTAAAGGGACTTGAGAGGAGTTTTGGAAAATTGTAAGAAATGAAGAAAATTATAAATTTTTTGTAAATTCGGCAAATCTTAACCGATTTTGATGATTTTGGTGTCAAATTAAAGGGATTTGAGAGAAGTTTTGAAAAATTGTAAGAAATGAAGAAAATTATGATTTTTTCGTAATTTCGGCAATTCTTAACCGATTATGATGGTATTGGTGCCAAATTAAAGGGATTTGAGAGAAGTTTTGGAAAATTGTAAGAAATGAAGAAAATTATGATTTTTTCGTAATTTCGGCAATTCTTAACTGATATTGATGATTTTGGTGTCAAATTAAAGGGATTCTTGAGGAGTTTTGGAAAGTTGGAAGAAATGAAGAAAATAGTGACTTTTTCGTAGTTTTGGCAATTCTTTGCCGATGATGATATATGAAGTTGAAAAAATAAGGAAACAGTTAAATAAATATATTGTTGTTTTTTATTTCAAAAATCTTTATTTTGACACATCATTTATGTACATTTATAGTATAGTTCATTATTGTTATTCTAAATTGTTTAGTATATTCATGAATGTCTTTCGACTGCTTTCATTTACTATTTTTTACTTTTAATTTTGGTTTTGTTTATCTTAAAAAAAGTCTTAGTTATCACAAAATAAAGATATGTGGTTATATAATGAATAATGAAGCGCAGCTTCTCCACATGCCGCTTGATTTGTGTGTAATACCACTCGGCAATCAGCATGCTGTAGTGCTTTTGCATATAAGCGAGTTTGAAGAGTTAGTGGTTCCGGGAATGGGATGGCTATACGTCAAGCGGAGATTCTCATATGTCAATGACGGAAAGTGGATTGTAAGCCAATATTATATATTCACAGTATTCAACGTATAATGAAACCTTGGGAGCACATGTGTGGAAGCTCGTTCGAGTCACTTTCATGATTGTATTCCCTCGATCCACTCAATAAAAATTTGTCATCCTATTTAAGCAAAATTATTTGTGATGGGTGGCTTTCATTTGTCAGTACTGTATCCTCAACTTTATACTGTTCCATGAGTGTGTAGATGGAGTTGATCAGTACTTTCAAATTGTCAGCGTCAAGGCCTGCGAAGTTACCTGGAATATGCAAAAAAAATCTATCAGTTGCAGATATAATTGGTATGTATATAAAATACTGTCTATTATTAAAAAATCTTAAACGACTAGAAGGCGCATTATCGGCAATTCGAAAGAAAAACGTATAGTCCAAGAATACTGTAATTTTGTATTCTTTTCTTAGAAATTTTATAAACCAATAAAGTTTTCTAGAACTGCTAGGAGGAGATCCACTGAAATCTTACAATTTTAAGAGGAGACTTTAACCTAAGAATAAAAAAAGTCGATTTTTTTTTCTTGTAGACATGTAGATTTTTCAAAACTGAAATTATTTTCAGATTATTTGTTGAACCGTAAACCTAAATAGTTCGGCTTTTCTCGAAACTTTAAAAGCGTTTATCTCGAAGCTGTCCTTTTCAAAACATTTCACTATCCATATCTCCAAATACAAATTTTTAATTAAAAAAAAAAAAAAATGTGAACAGTCAAAAAAGTGCTACAATCTAATTTTTCCGGTCATTTTGTGAAAAAAATGTCCAACCTTTCCGTAGAATCAGATATTGCGAAATTATTCCATATTAATGATTTTTTGGGTTCAGATTGCTAGGAGGACAATTTTTTTAAATTATCTAAAAATTCATACAAGAGGCTAGAATATCCCCTTAAGCATAAATTCAGAGTTTCTACCATCGACCATTTTCTTCGAGTAACTTCTCTAATTATAGACCGATCGTGGTCGTTGAGGGCTCTTTCGGTGCATGTATCCGACGATCCGACTATTGGTTTGTAGAATATTCAAAGAATAAAATCAAAATGAGAACACTTGGTGCAAGTATTCAATAATTTTGAATCTCAACCGGGTACTTATTTCATTATTTTTACTATCTTTATTTTCTTAGTAGTTGTCTCTGAACAGTATTCCAATTAAATTGTCGTGATTGCTAAATTTAATTAAAACAATTGTTTATTTTACTGCGTTGTAGGCATACAAAACTTATGTATATCATTATTACACTTGAACCATTGTAGTCACCCGATAAATGAAATGTTATTCAAATTTAATAAGAATAAAGTTAATAATGGCGCAGCTGTTTTGATTATTTCAGAGTTCGCAATTCAGTAGTTTACGCGACTTATTTCCTTATATGAAACATATTCTATACTTTTAGTAGACAGTTCGCTGTTGGACATTGGATTTACGGTCCTCACCCAAGGCTTGAGAGAAAATATGCATAATATTAAATTTGTGCTGGCTTTGCTGTGTGTTTTGGGCATAACTGCAGTTATAGGTGAAATATATAATTATTATGAATATAATAGTAATATTAAATTTATTTCTTAACAATTTGCAATTTTTCCTTTTATTCAATTCTTTTTTTATTTTATTTTATTTTTATTATTTTATATAATTATTTTATTTTTATGCAGCTCAACCTGGTTGCCAGCCGCGCATATATAGCGTTTCAGCTGGTCAAAGAATTTGTGAACGCCAATGTCTTACGGGACCAGGGTCCACCGCTTCTATGCGTTGCGCCACAGCACGTATTGCGACCACTGTTAGACTCTGTCCGCTGAATTGTTGTCGTCTGGGTTCGACCTGTCGGTGGGTTTATCAAACTTGAATGAGTTCAGTGGGAATAATGATGACAAAGTGATGAACTTATTCAATGTAAAATCCGTCTAATATCCTTTAAATAAACGCTATTGAAGTTTTCTTGAAATAAATATTTCTCCAAAATCTTTTTAAATTAGTTATTCTATTATTTGGCTGATTACATCCAAAATAATCGGATTTTTTTTTATTAAATTTCTTCAAGTTTATCTGTTTTTAATTATTTAGCTTATTTATAGGTACTATTTTTATTTCTAAATAGGATACATTTAGTTTTCTTTACGGCATAATCGTATAGGTATACAGCGTCCTGCTTCGTTGCGCGCAAAGCCTTCACGACAATAACAGCCCGAGGGTGGCCTAACGTACACCTTCAGACATTCCGCGTATAAGTCACGGCAATTTCTTTCACAGTTCGGTCCGGGATTTAAGTAGATCTCATTTTGGCTACCGGAACAACGGCGTGGTCCGCCATTACCTATGAATATACATACATATGTAATGTAGATAAAAAAAAGTTGAGCATAAAACTTCAAAAGGAATTAAGATCCAAAGGAATATGGGTCAATTTGACAATAATAAGACACGATGCACATTTAAATAACTGATAATTTGACGAAATTGGAATTGATAGTATTCAATACAATTTTAAAAATAGACCACTCCATCACGCAGTGAAGAAAATTAAGCAGCCGTAGCTGAGAGTGTACACTAAGACCGTGGAGAGTCGATTCGTCGCTATTCGCAGCAACTCGGACTGACATATGATGGAACGACTTGACGCATTTCATGTCAAGATCTTAAATTGGAAGCGTACAAAATACAGCTTTTACAAGAACTGAAGCCGCTCGACCTTCTCAAGTGATATCGCTTTGCTCTATAGGCTCTTGAAATGTTCCAAGAAGATCCCACGCATTCGCGCCAAATTTTGTTCACTGATGAGGCTCATTTCTGGCACAACGGCTTGGTGTGGTTTTTGCGCCGGTGGAATAATCGGTCTATATTTCTTCAAAAATGCTGACAGTGAATACGCAATAGTCAATGGCGCCCGTTTCACGCCATGATAACCGACTGTTTGATGACTGAAATTTAAGCTCGTAATTTCGGCGACATTTGGTTTCAAAAAAACGACGCCACTTTCCACACATCGCATCAATCAATGGATTTATTGAGAGAACACTTCGGTGAGCAGATAATTTCATGTTTTAGGCCGGTCGATTGGCCACCGAGATCTTGTAATATCACACCGTTAGATGAACGAGTAATCGAAAATTGGACTTTGTCATCTGAGACATCTGAGACGTAGTCGCGGCCAACATTTGAAAGTTAAGTTAGGTAATCTTCAAAAAATAAAAGCCAAAGAATATTATTTCGAATGATAATAAACATTCATTATTAAGTTTGAAGTTCCTGTGTTTTTCTCAAAAAAGTAATGAACCTCGAAATGGGTCACCCTTTTTAACTCGAAAGTGCCCGAAACACTTCTTAAAACTATGAAATTTTACGAACCTTTGACAATCGAAGTAAGGTACAATAAAGCAGCAAAAATTAATATGATTTTAAAATTGCACATCTTCGTAATAAACCGTTACTTCATATGAGAGAAAATGTATAACAGTTTAGCCTTATATAGTAATTTTATAAAAACAGTTGACCTTACAAAATAATTTTCATTGAAATCTTTAGAGAATGCATTGTATTCGGGTCAAGTTAACTACAACAAAGTTTTTGTTTTTAAAAAACATAACATTATTAATAAAAGGAAAGTTTTTATTGAATTTCATAAGTCGGTTTGGAATCGGCATGAGTTGGGTGCGTAAAAGCTTCCAAATCAAATCAAACCACTTGAGCTTCTGGTGAGTCCCTATTCTAGTGTTGTAATGATGGAATATAATTCCTTTCTTTCGCGGTCTCACACACTGAAAAACAATGGTATATTTTCCCTTTCTAGTGTCCACCTTTGGAAAAATAATGGACCTCTTTTTACTAGACTTTATATATTAGGTTATGTTAAATGGCTCATCCTTCGGCGGGGGATTACCTTTAGTCTGTTAAGTGCAGTCCTTTGTGTAGTCATACGAAAGACTTCTGTAGTTGGATATCAGCTATCGGCAAAAACGCCTTGAACCTATGAAAACTGTTTTATTTCACTATCCGCTATTTCGCAGTGTTATCCTATAATATTGTGGTATCTAAGGTATCTTTGCCTTGTTCTGCCAAAAGTAGGACTTTTAAGGAGCAAGTGTTGAAATGATTTCGTCTTATCTTCTTTTAAACAGCTAATGCACCTGGCGCCCGGTGAGATGTTCAATGAATCGCAAACCGCGCCCATTTAGAACTTCTACAACCATTGAAAGGTACTTCGGTACTTGCTGAGAGCGAAAAGTTCCCTATCCCTCTTACGATTTTCCCTGGGCCAGAAGTATCTTGAGACTGCATAGCTATTAGTAGTTCACCATCGCTTGTTGAACTGATCTGAAGCCCAACAGTTCGAACCACAGAAGCAAACGGAGCTCCTACTCATTCCCATTCCGAAATGATTGAGATTAACCGTGCGATTCTGTACGGTGATACAGTATCAAATCTCTAAATTTGACAGAGACAATTTTTGAGACTTGAGACGATTTKGCTATTCTGTAAGTGACAGTCACAAAATCTATTACATTTCATTATTCAGAGATGTTTTTACACTTGAATGAAAATAAATATGTCGATAACAAACAATAAATTTTCTATAACATAGTGAAAAAACATAATTATCAATAAAAATAAAAATATATGTTGACTTTGTTTCATAATATTAACAAAATTAATGTAAAATTGATTTATTTTTAACATTTGCGTGTTTGAGTTGCTTACAAAATAAAAAAAAAACGACAATCGATTAATATCTATCGTGATCTCTATTCAGTATATTCAAAATGGCAGACAAAAGTTCTTTTTGGGTTTGTGACTTGCTAACTACCAGGTCTCAAATTGGAGGCAATATTTTGAGACTAAAGCTAGAGACTGTTTAGTGAATAGTAACTAGTCATAAATTGAGATTTTACCACAAAATGTCTCAAATAGAGACTAGAAACTGGTTACAGAATCCCGCTATAAGATACCTGACGCCAAGCTAAGCTCTTCAACCTTACAGTTTCCTGCCATACCGAATTATTTACCAATATTTAGTTTGTCGCCTACAAAGTAATCCCCACCAGATGTAATACACTTATACAATCGATTTTTCCAGTCCGCGAAACATTTTTCAAAAACACTTTTTGGTTTGACCTCCAGCTCCTTCAGCGAATTTCTTTTTCGACCGCCTGAAATCGTGTTCCACGGAGCAGCAATTTTAGTTTGGGTAACACACGAAGAAAAATCTGACGAATACGGTGATTGACCGATAATATTCATTGCGGTTTTGGCTTTAAATTCGGTCACAATCGTACTCTTTTTGAAAAAAAAAAAAAAAAAATCAGCTTTATCGGGACCAGTCGAGCCAGAAAGCATTTCATACTCAAAGTATCCACCAAACCCTCTTGCCATCTCACTTGTCTTACTTTCTGGGTGCTTTTTTGTTACAATGTGTATTAATAATTATTTATATTTTCTGTTACTATTAAAAAATAGTTGAGGTTTAAAAATGCCTAGGAGGAATTCGTTATTTTAATTAATCTCAACTCAGTTAAAAGAAAGTTTGAAAATTAAGGAATACTTTTTATATTTACAGTTACAGTTAAATTACTTTTAATTTTCTAACAACTTTTTGTTGTGTCCCTCATACTTTGTACAGTTGATGACAGGAAGTGCCCATGCGGCAGCATGTTGGCGGACAGAGCAAAATAGTTTGGCCAGCTCTTGCTGTAACACAAACAGTGGATTGGCCGCGGATCGGAATGCAGGATTGTTGACAAACTCTTCGAGTTACAGTTATTTTAACGGACTTCATACGACAGTAAATATTTTGCCCTAAATGAAAGCATTATTTAGGAAAATATTCGATATGAAATATGAGAATATGAAGCGCCTTACCGAAAGCGGTGGCAGTCAAGCAAAATAACAAAATGCAAGCGAATAATTTCATGCTGCGAATGATTCAATTACTCCGGTTTAATGTTAAATTTAATATATATAGTAGAAAAATAATGTTAAATATGATTTGTTTAGCGTATTTATAAGGATTTTCAGTTGAAGGTTTTTGATTTTGTTATTGACTAACTGATCTTTAGTTTAATTCATGGAAAACATAAATAATATTTTATAAGAACCCGTAACCAAACAAATTTCTTTTAAATAATAAAACAATCTTTATATTTATTGTTATCTTCTTCATATTTATTGTTGTATTTAATTAATACATATAGTATTGTTGCTCTTTTACGCCTATTCTTTAAACAGATGTTTCGGTTACCAATGCTTTTTGTTGGCGCTAAATTGGGGTAAACAACGATTCATACAATAAATATTGTTTAATAATATATATTTAAGTATGGTACCATATTTCAACCTTAAAATTAAAAAAAAAAAAAAAAAAAAAAAATATATATATCTTAGAGATCATAGAAATATTATGCAATTATTTATTTCAGATTTTGAAATGATCAAATGATCTCCTCTTACTGCGTGTAGACACATCTTTTATTTACATTTGTCATCCGCATCTCGGAATATGAATGGCTCTAACATATTACAGTTTTCTGAACTGATACCAGGTAGAAGTACTTTGTTCCATAGGCTTTGTTTGACAGATCACGTATAAGCTGTCCTGCTATTTTTGTTCAGTATTGTTTGGCATTTCGTCATGGAAAGACCTATGCCTAATAAATGTTTAGAAATCGGTTAACAAAACTCACGTTATGTAAAGAATGTTTTTAGCGTGCTCCGCATAACTTATGGTCAACATCGCCAACTGAGCATATTATTCGCAACATCATTATCKATCTTTAGGCCCAGCATTCATTATTGGATAATATTCGACCGAATAGACAATGTCCAGCACGCAGTAAAAGCAGCTGTAGCTGAGGGTGTACAGGCAGACCTTGGAGAGTCGATTCGGCGCCGTTCGCAGCCACTCGAACTGACGCATCGAACGACGCATTTTACGTCGAAATCTTAAATTGAAAGCGTATAAAATACAGCTTGTGAAAGAACTGTCGCTTTCAGGTTCTTGAAAAGTTCCAAGAAGATCCGAAGTTTTAGAGCCAAATTTTGTTCAGCGATGAAGCCGATTTCTGGGTCATTAGGTATAAAAATAAGCAAAATGGCCGCATTTGGGACGAAGATCAATCTGAAGATATTCAAGCACTGCCATGTTTCCAGAAAAAACAACGGTTTGACGTGGTGTGTGGGTCGCTGGAATCATCGGTTCATATTTCTATAAAAAAAATGGTGCCATTGACAACGTACAACAAAAGGGCGCCAATTCCCAGACGTCGCATCAATCAATGGATTTAATAACTCGTGTGACATCACATATTGTTGATAGCAAACATTCCCAGTTAAATTTGGAATAAATAGGGAACCTCGAAATGAACTGTATAAAAACTTTAAAGCCAGATAAGTATGTAAGATTTTACAACCAAGCCATCACTCAATTGTACGTGCTTTATACCATATATTCAAGTGTATTTAATAGAAGGCCACGCTTTTCCAAAACAATACATTTTTTTGCGAACTTCTTGATTAAAGAAGTATAATATGATTAAGTTGAGGGATCTTTGAGGTCCACATATATAGTAGAAAATTAAGAGCATATTTTTAAAAATTGTGATTTTTGGAATTAAAAAATGCTAATTTTTAGGGTTTATTTGCATATGTTTTAAGAAAACACAGTAACGTTTTTGATGAAAAAAAAAAATAAAATCGAGTTACGCTCTAAAAAAGGTCCTCCATTACTACAATTGTTCCAGTTCTCTACGCGGATGAACCCATGAAAAAGGATCGAAAAATATAAAATGACAGTCAAAGGCCTCTTAAATTTAACATGTATTTAATCCGTCTGGAGTAATCTCTAAAATAAATTTGAAAAATATAGTTAGAGAAAAGTTGATTGTAGAAAATAGTATCTTTAAAAATATTTTAAATGTCGATTTAAAAATTAGTTGAAGTTGAGTGTAACAATATTAATAATTTTGTACAGAATGAAAGGCACCATGATAAGTAAAGTTTAACCGATCTCAATAATTACTTTACAATTAATATTAAAGTTCATTCCCGAAATCGGAAAGGAGCAGAACCAAACTTCACTAAATAACAGTAAACAGCCATAAGTTTTTGGTATCGAAATGAATTTTATCTTATTTACATATGTGTGTATATATACCATTTCAGCTGCTGAAGTTCAGACTATATAAGCACAGACATTTGTTCCAATAATTTCAGTGAACAAGCAACCATTGAAACCTTCAAGACCAGATCAATTATTTAAAAAAAATGGCAAAAGCTTTTAATATATTATGGCTAATGTTGGTTATCACTTTGATCACAGTGCAGGGTAATCAATATTATTTTAAAAATATTAAAATTAGAAAACCCTATTCTCAAGCATTTTATTTTTTTGCAGCTCAAAACCGTGTGTGCCAACGAATAGCTATCAAAGCACGTGCCGGTCAAAGACTTTGTGAGCGACAATGCCCTCCAAGCCGTTTGCCTGTCTTATGCGCCACTGTACGAATTGTACAAACAATTAGGTTATGCCCGCCAAATTGTTGTCGCGTCGGCGATGGTTGTCGTACATTTTAATGAAAAAAAATATATATATATATTGCTAAAGTTGTGAATAAAAAAGATAAAGATGTATAAACGATTTTTTATAAAAAGATGGAGGATATTTTATATATAACATGTAAGATAAAATCAGAACTTGTGATATGTTTTTCGCCTTTATGAGAATAAAGATCCGTAGGAAGCTCCATCGTTCAGAAAAACGTTTAGACAGTCATTTCGGATTAAAAATTAAAAAATATCATTCACATAGCAAAATATTGTTATAGAAGATATATGAAAAAGAATATATACACATACATTTTTATTCGATATAACCTGGGACTAGGGAGGAGTGTTACCAAAGGAATCTTTTAACCGGAACAAAAAGGATTTCTCTTTTTAAAGACGTTAAGCATATTTTCAAATGATTCGAAATAGCCTGAAGACATTGCCGTTGAAAAAAACTAAAAATATATTTTTACATCGTCACCTGAAATGCAAAATAACATAACAACATTTTCGGAAATTTACAGAGGAAGGAATAAAATTAAAAATAACTGAAACAAAATTTAAATATTAGGTAAAACTTTGTTATATCTGATAGCAGAACCTTAAAATATTGGACACATATACTTATATGTAAGTAATTTGAAGCAGTGGATCGTAATCAACGAAGCACTCAATTTCACATTTTTTGATGATACGTTATTTTGCATTTTAGGTGACGATATATATCTTAAATTAAATACGTATAATGCTATTCCAGTGTTAAAAACGTTAACGTTATTCCAGAAATCCAGCGGGTACATGTTCAAATTCAATTTTACAACTACACGTAACCTTAAGGGCTCATTTACTGAAGATACAACATTTTGGTTCATACCGCTCATATTAGATCCTATGAGATCACTATATTCGTAGCATATGCATAGCTATCATTGTATGGAAGACTTTTTGACTTTGACTTTTGAAGACAAATTTGGAATAGATTTTCAACGCTACAATCACCGAAGAAATTGTAGTAATATATGTAGCTGCATTTCAAGCTGACCGACTAAAATCAAGCTCTCTTTGTTATTATTTTTGCTATAATGAATGCATGTGAATGTGTTTTTTTTTTTTTTACTTCGACAAGATTATGCTTTAAAGAAAATGGGCGAAAGTGATCCAGCAAGTATTTCAATGATTAAATTGACCAACACTTTCCTCCAAGCACATTTGAGTGATTAAAAAAGCGATATAAGCGACAGCAAGCACGCGGATAGTAATAAGAGGTGATAAACAGAGGACCGGTAACTATAAAATTGTAGGTCGCATAGGTTAGTTCAATATTGAAGAATGTGAAAAAAATGCAAACGAAGCATTGGAAACCATTTTCGAACTATTGTAATGTAAGAATTAACAAGCACTAACTTGAAGAGGCTTCAAAATGATTAAGCTGAATTGTGTAACTATTATAAATAGGTTGCGATTCGAAAACTGTAAAAAGCCTGGCCAAACATCGGCCATTATTTTTCCATCATTTTGTTCGTATTATGTCAACGGCCAGCAGAATCAATATGATTTTTTTTACTGAAAGAACGGATTACCGTATAAATAGCTTAAGTGAAAGGTTTAATACGAGTCATTGCGAATTAAGCTCGTTACGGTTAAGATGACGAAATTTTGCTTACTTTTATTATGGGCTGTACTCAGCTTTGCAGTTATACAAGGTAAATGAGTGGCATAATGAAGATTAATTTAAATCCTAAACATAGTTGTGATTAATGTCATTCTCGTACAAGTATAGTTGCAGCAAAAATTGTAGGATGCAGGTACAAGACTTTATCTCTGCGGCGCGGGCAACAATATTGTCGCCGAATCTGTGTGAAAGAGGGTGTGCGAAGTCAGTGCAGAAAAGTTAACTTATCCTCTCGGGTTAGCGTATGCCCAGTGGGTTGCTGTCAACTTGGCGATAGTTGTGTGTCGATCAGACAAAGAAAGCTTTAAGAGAATACGCCATTCTTTAAATTTTCTTACACAAATAATAAATATTTTTTGCAAGCTTATTTGTAGTATCTCTAAAAGATGGAAACATAATAAAATATGTATAAACTGTTTAACAGCAAGAATAAATTTGTAATGTAATTTAACTGTGTATTCTTAAAATATGTTTAAATATACTCATAAAAACTGAAACAGATTATTGCATAAATAGCTCAAGCGAAAGGCTTAACAGATTCATCACGAATTATCCTCGTTACTGTTAAGATGTCGAAATTTTGTCTACTTTTTTTATTGAGCACACTCAGCTTGGCAGTTATACAAGGTAAATGAGCGGAAAAGAAACAGATTCGCTTGTAATCTCAACACCACGGCATTTTTAAACACAGTTGGGAATAATGTACTTTTTTCTATAAATATTTACAGCGCAAAGTGTGGGATGCAGGCCAAACAACTTAGCTCTGCGAGCTGGACAGCGAGTTTGTCACCGAATTTGTGTTAAAGATAGTGTACAGAATCGGTGCGAAATAGTCAAAAAATATACACAAATGAGAGTATGCCCACTGAGTTGCTGTCAACTTGGCAATAAGTGTGTGTCGCTCAGAAGTCGAAAGTTTTGAGGAGGATAAATAATTTTTTTAGTGTACTATGATATGTAACTACATGTACGGGTACTAAAATAAATAAAACGCTGAAATTTTTCCAAAAAGAGTTTCGTTTTTTGTTATGCAGATAATTTTATGCCATTTATGATTTGAACTAAATGACGGTCAAATGGCCACCACATTTTTGTTTGCATATCCCCACCCGTTTACGCCAATTTTCGATCACCTGTTGCAGCAATATAGTGCGCTGCATGTTGTCTTCGAGCTTCATCTAAAGAAGTGAAATCACATGACCTTGACGATCATTTGACTGGGACATTTTTTAAAATTAAATTAACGAGCTCGCAAACTTTGCACGCAATTTGTCCGCACAGTCTCGTTGGAAATAGAGATCGTACGCGTCGATTTAATAAAATTCAAGAAAAAGGTCGGTCGACATCGTATTATAACGGTCTATCTTGATGGTAACGGCATTTCCTGCCACAAACAAAAAAATAAGGCCCAATGCAGGTCGCCATATTACAATCTGCACCAAACCAGAAATTGGTCTCATCTTTGAAGGATATTTCGATGAACGAGAATTTGTGAAACGTGTCATGATGAAATGGCAAAAAAGTACACCTAATGTACTGACAACATTTGGAACAAATCTGTGGTATATGGAAATATGTATGTACAGCAAAACGAGTACTTAAAATGTATTCCTAGATTCAGAAACTGCAATACTAGTACATTGCTACTGGAAAAATAAGTGTGAGTAAATGTCAGCCAGAAGTGAATGAGTGGCAATTATATCATTAGCCAATGCTTCTTAAACGAAAACTATCTGTTTCAAAACAACACAAATCAATAAAAATTTAAAAAATCGGGAACTGTACATTGTTCCCAATTTTCTTTACACATTTTATGAATTCTTTTTCCTTTATCAGAGATAATTGGAACTAAGTCTTTCCAAAATAATGTCCGTGTACGGTCATTGGAACGTACTCATGTCCGGTTATAAGAATTGGCTTTGTATGAAAACGTTGTGCTCATGAAATTTGTTCGGTAATGCGAGCAGCTCTCCGGTTTTAAAGACTGTTCGCATTGAGGAATTTCACTGTATATTTATTTTGCGTGTTCGTTTATATGTATCTCTAATACAAGGAAACGTAATAAAATATGTATACATTTTTAACAAAGATATTATTATACTATATTATACAAAGTAATATAATAATATAATTGACAGCTTTCAGGTCAAATATCCGAGAGTATTTCCGAATATATAAATTTCCGTAGAAATTTTATAAAAATTATAAAATATACTAAAATATTAATGAAAAATTGAAGTTTTTTTTCGAAACGAACCAATTTTTATAAACCTGTCTCTTATACACATCTAGATGTGTATAAGAGACAGATAGTAATTTGTCACATATTGAGATTTTACGTCAAAATGTCCCAAATAGAGACTAGAAACTGGTTACAGAATCCCGCTATAAGATACCTGACGCCAAGCTAAGCTCTTCAACCTTACAGTTTCCTGCCATACCGAATTATTTACCAATATTTAGTTTGTCGCCTACAAAGTAATCCCCACCAGATGTAATACACTTATACAATCGATTTTTCCAGTCCGCGAAACATTTTTCAAAAACACTTTTNAAAAAAAAAAAAAAAAAAAAAAACAAGCAGTCTATAGATGCCGAAGACCGACATATGTATTTAACTGTGTTAATATAGTTATTAGTTTAGGGAAAATCTAGTTTGTTGGATATAATATTCAGAAATTATTTTCTGCTCGTAGAACTCTCTGTCGTTGAAATGAACCGAAAGCAGTGTGAATAATATTTTCTGAGATAAGTTTGTATTGCTTTAGATAACATAACCTAGCCATCGCAACTACAAGTATTACCTCTAAAATTACAAAGTCATTAGCAATATTTTCGGTTTGACACGTCTTTCATCCTTGGAAACCACTAGCTTCTGCAAATGAAAGGCATGAAAGTTTGAAACAATTAGCACTTGGCTGTGGATATGTTACTTATATAATATTTTACACTTCTAATTTTTAAAGTTATAAAATAGTAAAGTTGTTTTGTTATTTACGTTTGTACTGATGATACTTTCTTTTTTCTCGCCTTCGTAAACTTTCATTAAATCTTATTAAATTTGCATAATATTTATACAATTGGTGTCTGAAATTGATAATAAAAAGTGAACAATTATCCACACATTTTCTGAATAGGGAAAATATATTGTATTGCTGTAAAAATATTTACATTATTGGTATATAGTTGAATTGTTTGTATAAAAGGCTTTGCGGAAGCTTGCATATCGCGTATTGGAGTTACAAACTTCGCAGTCTACACCTTAACATAGTCAAAAATGACAAAAAAATTGCTGTTTATTTTAAGCATTGCTTTTATCTGCATTGTTTTGATTAAAGGTATGTAAACATTGTTTATACTTTATAATAATTTATATTGGTAAATAACTTTTTTAAGCGCAAATCCCAAATTGTACGCCTCAAATCATTCCCTTACTTCGTGGTCAACGTTATTGCCAACTGAATTGTCCACCGAGACTGCCTCGCTTTCTTTGTGTAACTGCCACGAAGGACATTCGATTGCCAGTATGCCGACATGGCTGTTGCCGTTCTGAAAACAAATGTGTTCCAGAGAAAAGACCTGGATAACTAGTGTTCCAGTTTGAGTGTTGAATAAATGCATTATAATAAAAATACTTTTGTTTAAAATTTATTGAAATGTGTTTGACAGCAACTCAATTTGATTTCGAATTTTGAAAATCAGTGCATTAACTACTTCCGGTTTTAGTATGAACTTTATACTTTATTTATTATATACTCAAAAGCTTTGATTGCTGAAACTTTCGCTATGAAAGCTTTAAGTTCAGTGAAGATGTTGAAAAGCATACTTCTATAATTCCCTTCATATACTATATAAATAAAAATAAAGCTTTTCCAATTTAGGGCGTGCTGGGTTTTGTATTCTGTTGTAGTTAGTTGATGCGTCGTCTTAAAAGTTAGAGCGAATTTTTTCTATACTTAGTGGTACCTTGGCCTACATAAAAGCTCTTCAAAGCGAATTTTTCCAGCCAATTATAAGTAAACACCGCTTAGAATCAGATGATAATTCCGTTTTACAAAGAAATAGCATTTCTCGGCTAATGACCCACGCATAAACTTGTTTTCGTTCTTTCCGATAGCAGATAAAATTCCATTACGAAGACCATGAAGATTAACGATACCTCTTAAAGTGCCTAATACTGTTGTGCTTCTAATTGTTTAAAGCGTAGCCTTGCCAATGCGGGATAAGTGCACAAGAGGAAGTTCATTGTTTTCCTGATGCCGTGCTTTTGACATTATCTGCAGTTTTCTCGATCTGTCAACCCCATCTGCAGACGTGACATGTTCTTGTATAATCATGTTCCTACAGTCCAAGTGTCAATAGGAGCTTTGTATATTTCCGAGCTACCGTTTTATGGATGACATTTGCAGTTTTGGTAGATCGTTTCATCGCGTTTTTTGTTTTTAATTGCTGCTCACATCGTCGTATAGACAGTGCAGAATTTCTAATTTTGAACACGTTTTCAGGTGATTGTCGTACCCCAATCTTGGCAATCTCGCTCACTATATCACTGACCTCTGTATGCCTTTGTGTGGTACCCAGTATAAGGAGAAGCAAGCATGATTCTGGTGGCAATTTACACTGCTGTCCTGATTTCCAAGACGCAGCTGGCCGATATGTTTGGCTGTTCACGTAGTGGCCTCAGATTTCAATAAAGAGATCTAAAGGTTTAGGGCTAGGTCAAGGGCTGCCGTTGTAGTAGTTCTTAGAGCTCTCGTTACGAACAACGAAGTGAACAATTTTAAATTGTAGCAACAGTCAGCGATAATAATATTTCGAAATTAATAGAAATTTTAAACCGATAGAATTTTATTCTATTCGAGTTACTTTTAAGTGAATGAATTTGTTTTCTAAAAGTCTAAACTAATCTGATTAAATAAAATAAGAAGACGTTTTAGAGTTATAAGCTATGGGGAATCGGAATTTGCTATATATATTTGTGAAAAGGAAAGGAGATTTTAATTGTAATCAGTTATTTGTTTCTAGTTTCGAAGCTTGCAAATCTGTCAATAAATGAAAAAAAAATTCAGTATTTTGGTTGCGTAGAGGTCTAGATGAAACTGCATGCAATTTTGGAACCTCAACTTAACCAAGTTCATGTTAAATAGTGTAACGCTACGAATATGTGTTTTGAAGCTTATGTCTGCTTTATTATTTCTATATAAATTGAAAATGATTGTATTCCAATATATGAACTTCTGGTTTTAACACTATATCTCTGATTCATAAGTTGTATAATTAAATTGTAGAAAGCATCAATGACCCACATGCAACTTAATGGCTTCTTATAAAATTTATTGTTTTCAGGGTATTATTATTGTTTATTTATATAACAAAACTGAGTGAAAAATAAAATAGTGTTTACATTATTTGTATAACTTTTGCATGTTTTAAAACTCAGAGCTTATTCCGACTTCGAAAGGTAGAAACTGATAATTTAAAAATGTTTAAAAAATTTTACGCGGCTTTATTTATTTTCACTATCTTCAGTGCTGTTACGAAAGGTAAATCACAGAATTTTTAAAAACTTATATTTCTCCAAAAAATATAGTATGATACATGATTATTTAAAATGTTTTGTAGCGCAACCGCTACCGAACTGCGAGCCTGTGCTTACTGTCATCACTAGAGGCCAAAATGTTTGTCAACGCAATTGTGCGCCAAGGCAGCCGGCAAATGATTGCTATAGATCCATAGGAGTTCTGACCATTCGGTTATGTCCCCCGCTCTGCTGTCGGGATGCTAATAACCAATGCGTTGTCGCCATAAGAATTGGCAAATAAACCTCAAGCTAGCTAAAGTTTTAATTGCCGTAAATAATATAAAACAATGAAAGTCAAATGATTTGTCTTGTAGTTTTATTGGAAGTGGATTTTCAGGGATCTGAGTATGTGTATTTTATTATCAACTTTGGTTACTAGCTTTTAGGCACGAAATTAAATTTTATTATTAGACCTCTTTTTGACTAATAACTTGAAGGACGAACAGAGAATGATATGAATTTGAAATGTCGGTAGGTGTAGTCGAACAACCTTACGTCGGGCATACACCGAAATTCGAGGTAAATATTTAATACAACCCAGATAATTAATAATATTTCATGAGAGACCTGCATTTTGGCGTAAAGTAATGTCTTTCAATCGCAACTGGAGTGAAAGTTATCACCGCCGTGGAAGCTTACTTTAGAGACTTCTATGTTAATGATAATTAAAACAAGAAAACTCCTTCACAAATATAAGAAATTTCCCTGCAAGAACTTAATTTTAATAGTTCAGTTTGTATAGCAACCATTTGCTATAGTGTTCCAATCAACTCCTTTGGATATTGTAGTGTTGTCTTGGATAACAATATCTTCTAAATTCTACGAACATACAATTTTAAATAAAGTATCGTTGCAATATCTCAAAACCTGAGAGATAAGCTTGTCACGCTGATCATTTATATCTGCAATTATTTTGTAGGGACTTCAACGGCAACAATAAGATGAGCTTAACTCTTTGAGTTGTGCTTTACTTAAGACCATATAAAATCACTGGCATGTTAGTGCTCTTTCCTCGCTTATTGTAAGCGTTCGTTCTTACTCTCAAAGTTAGCAAAAGCAAAAAAGCAAGCTTCACATGCACATAAATATACAAACGTACATATGTATGCGGTACAAAACCATAGTGGTAACCTCAAAAATTAATGTGTGGTGAAAAGCTTGAACACACGTAAATTGTTCGCTTCAGTTAAATATAAACAAAGAGTATGAATACTGGTTAAAGCGAAAATTTTGAGAGGCACTGGAAAAACACGTGTGACATTTATAAAAATTTATATATGGTTCATCAACCGACATTACAAAATTAAATGCGAAATGCTAAGTATATATACAAGTATTTGATCAAATCAAATCTCAGTATATATTGCGTGGCATCTCAATTTAGAGCGATCAGTTAAAATGTTGAAATATATTTACGCAACTTTGATATTTTCTGCGATTTTTCTCGTAGTGGCAAATGGTGATAAATAATTACAATAACAGTTAATTCGACATACATACATATATGCTAATTTATTTATTATCTATGGTGTCTTGTAGCACAAGCTTTGGTTTGTTCACCGCTAGATATGCAGGTGAAAGTTTTTGAAACTGTCTGCGAGCCCAATTGTGCACCGAGAGTACCGGCAAGAACGTGCTTTAGCCTGTCAAGACCAGCGACGATCGCTATGTGTCCGCCACTCTGTTGTCGGGATAGTAATGGCGAATGTGTGGCAACTGTGAGAATTGGTTAATTGGGAGCAGTGCTGGAATTTATATTGAGTTGAATGTGATGTCAAGAAGAAGAAGAGAGAATAAATGTTTTTCTTAACATAATGTACTTTTGCATAAAGTTTTGAGTTCAGTGAGGGTGTCAGGGAATGAGAATAGAACGCTAAAGTGTAAGCGAATTTCCTGATGCTAAAGTAATTATTGTGTTGAATAATTTCTTTAGTAACGGCCAAAAACGATTGGAAAATCTAAGAGACTACATATGTGGGTCCTCTTCTATCATCTCACCATAAACTTACATATTTTAATCGTTATGTTATTCTGGTGCCCATAAGTTGCCAAGGATCGGTTGAAGAGACTTTTAAATATTAAAGGGGAACAATAACTAAACTTCTAAAGAATAAGTGAGGTTATTAAAAGAAATGCTAAATCTAAATGGTTCTAAGTGATAACTTTAATAACTGGGGAGCATCATTCGAGAAGAATTTTGTATAAAACAGTAACCGATCAAATTTTACCCAGACTGATCATTTTACACTACGCGCACAAACGGAATCGATAATTTGTTTTTCTTATATTGGTACTAACTTTTTTATGGTCGTTTCATATTCTTATGTCAATTACAATGTGTTTGGCTCAAAAAATTTGTGTGTATATTTTTCCACGAAAAAACTGAACAACGAGTTTGCTTGAAATTTTGTGTCCAATGGAATCACTATTGTACGAAATTTCATAGAAGGACCAGTATCTTTTATAAAAACGTCATCTTTAGAGATAACAAATTAGGTGCTTGACAACGTAGCTGAGAATCCCACATTCAACAAATGCCTCATTACTGTTCACGAGGTATGGGTTTATGATTAAAAAAGTCTAAGCTGTTCAACAACGTTCCAAAAACGAGCGAAAAGCAAAAATTACAAAAATATGTCAAGTGCCAAAAGCCCACCTCAGCCGAGGCTTACAAAAAGTGTACGCAAATTGGATTAATCTTTGGCATGCTTCTATTATATTAGATCAGAAGCCAATTTTGAAGGTGATAATAAAGATTTGTATTAAAATACGTGAAAAAGTAGTTTTATTTGTGTCAGTCCGTGTAAAATTTGATAAAATTTTTCAGGTGAATGATAAATATATGGATTAATCACAATAATAAATGAATGGTGAAGGAACAATCACATCAGCCAATTTATAAATAAATGGTACCAAAAGCTAAAACAAGCAGAAGAAAATTCAGGCAAGCTCTCAGCCACAGCTGTTTTGGATGCGAAAATGCCTTTCAGGTTGATTACTACGGGCAGAGTTATACAAAAGCTGAATAATTTCATACGGTAGAAAAGACTTTGACTTTTATTCTTTTTATTGACAAATTACTTCCGCTTCATTTCACGTATAAAAAGCGAGTAAGCCAATCTACAATATTTCAGTACAAAATATTGCGGCTTGACCACCACACTTGAAAATAATGAAACTTTTCTGCGAAACTATCATTTTGTTAGTTTTAAGTCTGGCTTTAATTCAAGGTAGGTAAAATTTAACTTTTGAAATTATAAAAAAAAAAAAAAAACTTAAAAAAATTATTTTAAATATTTTACAAAATAGTAAAACTATAAAATATTCTTATATATGTATTTCAAAAATTAACTATTCCCTGTTGCAGCACAAAGAACTCCAAATTGTCAACTTCAACGAACATTTTTTTTAAAGAAGGGTCATCGCGTCTGTATACCCTATTGCCCACCAAAAGGAACCACTTGTATAACGGCTGATCGTCCCATGCAAATACAATCTTGCACCGCTGGATGTTGCCGCTCGGGCAATAGATGCATTCCCGTCAGGAGGGGTTAGTGATCGGGATTAACGAAAATGCAGAAGTGCATATACAGATGTATACGTAAAAGTGTAAAATGTCTTTAAAGGATGCAATAAATATTTCCTTAAATAAATAAATAAATTGCTGAATATGAAATAATATGTTTTTTAGTATTGCTTTTCGAATTTCATTGTTAAATGTGATCAGACTTAAAACGAAATTATTTTTATATTGATATTGACGGTTTAATATTTTTAAAAAGTTTAGGTATATGCAACATATAGTATGTAAAAAGTTAAAAATGGATGCTTTTCCTCAAAGAAGATTGCCTAGATTTTTGCAAATATATTATCACTTTTCACAATTTTTTAATTATTATTAAAGACTTCCATTGATGTAGAATAATTGTATTTAATTGAAAGGCCAAACAAATTTAGCCTTCCCCCAAAATTTGGACTTAGTTTCGATTCTCCTACGGAAAATTAATCAGCCAACCTACTATGATAAAACTTATGCCAGAGGAATGCTTTGAAGTTGTCCACCGTTCACCAAGTTTTTAAGAGATTCAGTTGTTCAGCAGTTGGCCACCCCACTTTCAATTCATTAACCTCGCAGTTTCCGTTTAATATTTCATGACTAAGTATTTATACAGCTCGAAAATGATTAATTGAACCAAAAGTCTAAAACCATAGCCGATAGAGAATTCGTAACAATATATTCAGCTCGAACTTTTCCATATAGCTCGAAGCCATCCTTAAACTATCAACGCATTCCATTCAGGTTTGAGAACAACGAAGACGTAACCGATTTGGTAATCGCTATAATCCAGCATGAATTTGAGACTATCATGAGAGCGGCATATCTAAAGCATCCTAGCGGATCTGTATTGGTAAATTAAATATAATATATAAATTTTAATAGGATAGGATTAATAGGATAGTGGTTATAGTAACAACCTTTTTGTCTTCCATGCTCATATAAATGATATAAGTGGTAGATGATTCTAGCAGGATGGCGATATAACTCATATAGCCTTTAAAGATATACATCTTTTGAAGGTTGTTTTTTATACATGTAGCGTTATAGTTATATACGTATTTTAAAAATTATTCCGGGCAAGTTACCGCCATGGCTGGCTCGAATAAATTCCTGCCGAGAGGCCGAATAATTTTGGGCAACGTTTTATAGCAATTGGGTGGTATTTCAATAACCTTCCAAGGTGTCAATCGTCTCGGACATTTCTGCATTTAGACCCACGACACAATTGATGATTGTTCTACTTTTATTTCTACACGAGTGGGACTTTGTAAGTTCACAAACTGAGATCCTTCTGTAAAATTTTCCATAAAGTGTACGAGCACAATTCCAATTGTTAGGCAAGATGGCGGATGGAAGCATTTGGGTCTTCTTAACATTATGTGTGCATGGTACGGTATCTCTGAGGATGTGAATTAATCACTGGAATAAACGTGGTGCGAAATTGATCCATGGTTGCTTGAATTACCGACTCTGCTGAGCGATTATGTCGAACCGAATCATTATTTTCTTAATAAATTAGCACGATTTTCACACGTTGTGGCGGAGTAAGTCTGTTTATTATAAAATTGCACACCAAATTGAGTATAAATCAAGTAACGCTGCCAAAAAGACCAATTTCTAAAGTGTATTGTATTGTCTAATTGAAAAAGAAAACGAAAGCTTTTACCGAGTCTTATCAAGAAAATAGTTTACCACTTAAACACCAAGGAGATATGATTAACTAGACAGGAAGGTCTATCTAAGAAAATGTTGCGATGGGTATTTGTGAAAATTTTTCTTTCCAAAGGCTGAATTATTTAGTAATTTACGATCAAATATATTAATATTTCTTTGCTTTATCTACTACCCTCAAGAATACTCAACCTAGCTGACAATAACAATAATTATTCACGAACTTCAATCTGCTGCCCTAGAAGTTTTGAACCCGGAACAGAGATTTAAAAGAAAAAGAAATGGTAATATACATTGTACTCACAATAAGCCACTAAGAAATATAGTAAACTGAATTCTGATTGCCACAACAAAACAATAAATACTAAATATTAAAAGAGAATCGTATTTAAATAGTCTTACGCCTTAACATTTTGGTCTCAATTAAGTATAAAAGGCCAGAACCTATTTTTCAGTTTACGGTATATTTTCGCTTTCAAAATAATTAAGTATAAAAATAATACGAGAAAATGACAAAACTGGTTTACGTAACTGTAATTTTACTGCTATTGGGTGTTGCAATAATTCAAAGTGAGTGCCATTGACATAGTATAGGTAGGCAAATAAAGGGTCCATCAATGAAAAAAAGTAGACTTTGTATCATTATATTAAAAATATACATATCTGTAGAATATGGAATATAAAATCGTTCCACGAGATAGGAGTTTTTGAGAAGTTGTTCAGCAGTAGGCCGAAAGAGAACATAGGAATTACTACACACTCTCAATTCGCTAACCTTGCAGCTGCCAACTATTACTCTGTGACTAGCTAAGATTATTTTAGCTATTTATCGTGAGGTCACGAATAATCCTTGCAATCCCACATTGACAGCTAGAGACTCTTGTCTGTGTGATGCTCAGAACTCTTAGGTATGGACCAAAAATACCATATCATATCGACAAATGATACAAAACTTTTTTCCAAAAATTTGTACTATGCGTCAATAAACTCAGGATGATATATCTTTCGAAAGATTTTTGTTTCGCACATTTTGTCTGGAAATAATGGGGATAAAAAGAGTAAAATTGATATTTTGTTAAGGGCTTGCATGGGTTTCTTAGGATAAAAAAACCCTTTTTTCCAAAAATTTGTTCTCATATAAAAAACGAAACAAACACTATTAACTTATAAATTCTGAAATTTTTGAAAAAAAAAAAATATTTTTAACTACCATTGATAAAGAGAAGAAAAAAGATACGCCCGCGTTGGCAGAATAACTTTTTACAGGATCATCTAAAGTTAAAAAATACGTCTTTTATTTAAAACCTTAACTAAGAACTTGGACGAATGAAAAATTGAAATCCGATTTTTGGTAGACATATTTACAAAAATACTGAAAATTTCGCGACATTTTTGTTTTTAATAGTTGTAATTGAAAAAAAAAAAAAAACTTCATCCTAGTCTTTAAGAAATGTATCTCAAAGACCTGTGTCATGAAGAGCGGTTGAGTAGTTCTCGAGAAATCGTGCAAACCGACTACCAAAACATTGTTTCGAGAAAAACGCATTCAAAGACGGCTGTTTTCCGAAACTATTACTCGGATTACTTGAAAGTTTAGGACAATATTCTAGAGGTGTTGTGGAATTTAATAAGACAATAAAAAATTTTATTTTTGAAACCCATGTAACCCTTTAAGCATATATAAGCATAAGCAAATTTTCTCTCCTCAAAATACAAATTCCTAAAAATATTCAGCATTTTACCGAAGACATTAAATAACCGTTCAAATATCTTTTTTCTCCGAGGCCGAGCTTGAACCATATGCGGGCATTGAGAAGCTCTTATTTCTATGTTTTATATAAATTTCCATTTTTATATATAAACTCATTTCTTATAATATCCATCAATTAATACCCATCTTCTTGAATGTTCGGTGCAGCACAAATGTGCCAACCCTACACATTTACTCTGAGTGCTGGTGAACGCATATGCTTACGTAACTGTAAACCACGTCCAGGCGGGTGTATAATGGCTGTTAGAACAATTAAAGTACAAACATGTCCACCAGGTTGCTGTCGATCGGGCAGTGGTTGCGAATCCTTGAGTAAAGGATAATTTGAGTGTCTAATGGATGATTTGTTATTATATTTTTTAAATAAATATCAGAAATATAAATTTTCTAAACGAAAACAAAAATTTCTCTGTTAAAGTTGTTGTAGTAAGCTTATTGAGTGCTTAGCATAGAGTAATAGGTTCAATCGTCTCATATTTATAGGGAAAACTACATACATGTATGCACGTGTAGAAATATCTCAGTCAACACAGCTTGAGGCTTTCAGCTGTTGAAACGAAACGGCAAAATATTTTTTTTCCAAAATTTCTTTTTTTAATAAATCTTGTAATATTCCGAAAATTCAAATAAAGCAAGCAGTAATTTTCTGTTTTTTCGTTTCTCACTTTCAGCAAATACTTGTAGGATTCGCATATTTCTGACGAATCCTGGTCAACGCATATGTGAACTCAAGTGCCGGCCACCTGGCCAAATGCCAGTTACGGAATGCTACATAGCGCCACGCGTCTATCGTGCAGTTGCCTGCCCCAGCCACTGTTGTCGTTTGGAGGGTCTCAGTTGCAGAGAGCGTTAAATCTGATTTATATGATTTATATAACCGGTCAATTTAAAAGTCTCCGACCTATCATAGAAAAGCACAGTTTATTTGGCAAAATTCGTTTTTTTATTCAACATAATTCGCTTCATTATAGCCACCCTAGAACTTTTGGAAATCATTTTTGTACTACAATTTGTCTTTTCCTTCAAAATGGGGCTCAGTTTTGGCGATCACCCCTTCATTCGACTAAAATTGCTTCCTAACGAGTATTTTTTTAAGATCGGAGAACAGGAAATAGTCCCTGACGGGCAGATTTGAAGAAATCGTCAGAGTTCATTGGCTTGGAGAAACACACTTTCGCTTTTCGGTGAATCCGTCAATAACGCTATACGCATCCCTAAATATAAATATATCAATTAATTCTAGTAGCGTCTAAGCGTTTAAGGCAGGGGACTTTTCAAGTGCCCAGTAACTTTCCTAAAGAAATAGTCAGTCAGGTCAGTCCGACTAAAAGTCTGAAGTAACCTGAATACGAGGGGATTTAGTTTATATGTTTTGAGAAACGAGAAATTTGTTCATTTATGTTTTTATTCATTTAGAACGTTAAGTATATTTGCAACGATTGCTGCAGAAATATGTTTTTTTTGGTGTACAATGTAGAAGTTATTTATTTAGATATATGGTTTTCAATGATGGAATACTTTTTTGGGATTGGTTTTTTGCAAAGTTATTACTTGATTTACTTTGATAGGCTTGACTTTGCATAAGGAGTAGACTTTTTGCAAATCGAGCAAATTCATTACAGAAACAATGGTTTGGTTGGCGCAACAGAGTCACAAATTCAAGTGACCATGGATCGGTTTCTCACTACGCTTACTCTAGTGAATAATGCACATTCATAGATACAAAAACTCAAATAATTTTTTTTCAGTGTATGGAATTCATTTTTCTTTTATTCGTGCTAAAGCTTATTCAATTTTATTAAATATAGCTTAATTAGTTTTAAAAATAATGGAATTTAAATGCCCCCCTCTGCTCGTTGATGCATGTGCGGCATCTTACCAAAAAGTTGTTCATTACTGCTTGGAGAGTTGAGACAGGAATAGCCGCTATTGTTTCTCGAATGGATTGCCTTAGTCCATTCAAATTTGTTGCGTTTGCTTTGTAGACTGCCTGTTTGCAATAACCCCACAAGAAAAGGGCAGTAAGGCCTGGCCACCCAAGTCGGAATGTGAAGTTTCTGGATATCAGCTTATTGGGAAATTTTCGTCGCAATTCTGTCATAACAGGTTGGGCTATGTGAGGAGCTGCAAGTGACCATGGATGGGTTTCTCACCACGTTAGAGTAAACGTGAATAATGCGCATTCACAGAGGCGCCGTACAATACACGATGTAAACGCTATTGCTGCTGTGAAGCAGAGTTTCGAAGAAGACCTGAATTGGGAGTCCAACCGTCATGGCGTGTAATAATTGTAGCTTCGGCTACAACTTTTTATGAAAGATTTTGCGTGGTTTCTGGGCTGAGAAATTCAACTCTAGCGCTCCGGTGAATGGGCATGAATTTTACAAAAAAAAGTTTCTTCAACGATGAAGCTCACTTTTGGTTGAATATGTACGTTGAAAAAAGAAATTGTCGCATTTGGCGTAGTGATAATTCATAAGGCATTGTTGAGACGCCGTTTCATTCTCAAAAAGGGACTGCTTGGTGTACTGCATGGGAATTGGGAATCATTGGTTCATATTTCTTAAAAGGTGTGGCGTTCAGGACCGTACGATTTCAAACCGCTGGAAGACTTTTTGTGGTTAAATAAAGCACCTTGTACATGCAAATATGAATTCTTCGAGCCAGCTAACATCAAGGTCACATCATGGCCATAACATTAAATTATACTGCGTTTTATTTCTTCTTGAAAACCACATGTCTCAAAAAAAAAAAAAACATCCTTTAGAAGCCCTTTACTACGGAAAGTTCTGAAAAAATTTCTGTAAGGAGTGCGGGTATGATAAATATGAGATAACTAAAGTCAATGAAAGGACCAACATTCTAAAAAGTGTCTTCAAATAGAAAAATAAATTTCTCTGTTGGCGTGTAGCTCATACTTTTCAGGTTAGAGAGCAAGAAGTCTTGCAGTTGCAATAGTGACGATTTTTATTTTCTCAATGAAGTTGTGAAGTGCAGTGATGGAAATTAAAAATAAAAAGGTTGGATGGTTTTAAACACCTTACAAATACCTATATTGAAAGTTAAATAAAAAAACTATACACAATTTAGCTGATCCCATCTGTGCGTCTCACAAATCACAATAAAGCGTTTGGCTTAAGGTAACACAAGATGAAGAAAGCCGAGGAAGATGTTTGAAAAAATGATAAATCACGGAAAAGTGACAAACAAATGTAAATCAAGATGAATAGAAAGTAAAATAGCTTTGTTTGGCTGGCACAAAGTCAAGGCGCGTACAGCCATGCCACGTTATCTGTAAAACAATTTCTTTTTAATATTTTTTCAAACGTCAAGAGCGTAAAAATACCATAGTTTTTTGGAGTAATTTTTCTTGTAGAAAGTAAAAAAAAAAACAATGTGGCTTGTGAGCTCTTTTACAAAGTTAGTGTAGTCTCACCTGATTTAGAGGCACTTTGTATTTGAGTTTGTGGGTGGGTGTATTGTCTTGTCATTGACGCCCGACTTGTGTAGTTTAAAATCTCAGCAGGCGACTGCCGCCAAATAACGCAACACAGCCAAGAAAATAAAAAGCTTTTGCAGCAAAGCAAGATAAACCAAAGAAGCGTCGAAGGACTTTAAAAACTGCAAAAAACATGAACGTGGAATTTACGAAACCTAACGGTGTAAGTAAATGAAATAAAAATCAACACAGGTAAGCAGCAATAAAAGGCTACCTTAAGTCGGGCAAAATGATTTATTTATCGCGAAATGCGTTTTTTGCACCAAGCCAAGGTGACTCAGCTCAATTCAATGGCAAAACAGCTGCCCCCACTACTTCAGTCACTAAAATTGATTGCCAAAGTGTTGTTGTGTTTTTTCTAACCACACCTCCTAAACAAAGTAATATGAATCAGGTTAATATTCAAGCGCGTTATCAATGTGTCTGTGTGTGGGAAAGAACCTTGCGGTGTAAAGGAGTCTTTTCTTCCTAAAAGTTCGTAAAGCTGAGGAAGAGCGAGAGACTGAAAAATTTGGCAAATACTTTGTGAAATAAATGTTAGCATTTCCAACGAAAAGTGTATGTAGGCGTATATGTACATATGAATGTCAGATAATCTGACACATTTTGTAGGCTTTTCATGCAAAGTAGATTGACTTATTCATATTGTAATGTGTTTAAGATGTAGACTTTAGAGCGGCGGCTGAGAAAAAATAAGCATACACATTCGAGGAAGCTTACAGCAAATGATGAATCGTGCGTTTTTCTTTAGAAAAAAATCATCACGGAATGTCTGTGTGTGTGGCAAATCCATCATGGCGTATGAGTAACTTTTGATTGCAGCCAAGTGCTCTTGCTTTAACTAAGCCAATGACTTGCTTTTGAGGTTAAGTAAGGTAAATATTTGCGTTATATTTTTGTTTTGGCGCATTAAGGGTGATGAAGTGTCTTTGTTAATAAGTGAAAACGATTTGTAAGTGTAAAGTTGCCCATTAAAGCTAATAGAAAGGAGGCAATTATCTTTTATGCATTCTGACAATTTTGGCAGCTTAGAAAGAAACAAGAGATTGATTGAAATTAGTCTTAAAACAAATTAAACCAAAACAAGAAAAAACGTTAACTTCGGCTGTAAGGGTATATTAGCCCTTTACAGGTGCACTTCTTTTAGTAACTATGTGTTCAGTTTGTATGGAAGCTATATGAACCATTTTCTCGGATATTATATTTTTACCTTAAGCAGTAATCCATGTTACATTTCGTGAAGATACCACGTCAAATGCGAAAGCTCCAATACAAGCACTTGATTCCGATCGTTCGGTTTGTATGGCAGCTATATGCAATATTGAGCCGATCTGAATAATTTCTTTATACATTACATCGTTGCCTTAGAAAATAACCTGTACCCACTTTTGTGAGGATACATTGTCAAATGCGGAAGTTTTCCATACAAGCACTTCACACAGTTCGGTTTCTAAACGTATCTTAAAAACTGATTAGTTTGCATATATACCGACAGACGGACAGACGGACATGGCTAAATCGGCTCAGCTCAACATACTGATCATTTATATATTATATATACTTCATAGGGTCTCCGACGCCTCCTTCTGGGTGTTACAAACTTCGTGACCCTGTACAGGGTAAAAAAAATGTGAAATTCAGTTGAATTAATGTTATAATACCCTCCTCAATTATAAAAGTTTTCCATACAAGAACTTAAATTTGATAAATTCGTTTGCGTGACGGCTATATGCTATATAGTCCGATCTGAACAATTTCTATACAAAATACAAAATAAGACTCTTAATTTGCACCAAATTTCGTGAAAGAAAAACAAGACAAGATAAAAAGAAAAAACCCTGAAAACTTGGAATTTTTCACATAAAATTTGAGGTTATGTGAAAAAGGTGTTTATACAAAAGTTGTAGATCTTTTTATTTTCATAACTTTGCCATATAACTTTTTATGATAGGTCTCGTATTTTTGCCGAACATTGTCAACCTGGAAATCCAATATAACTTTTGCCAACAGGTGCTACTTCGGAATGAGTAGGCAATTGAGAAGTAAAGTCCTCCCTCGAATAAAAAAAATCCATCTCTAGAAGTCACTTATTATTCCTGTCCTGCTATATGGTGCAGAAGCATGGACAATGACAACATCTCATGAGTCGACCCTACAAGTATTCGAGAGCGGAGTTAGGCAACGTCGAATATCACTTTCGATGGAATCGGATAGTATACACTGTAATAAACATTCTCTCAAATTTTGCAATCGAAATTCAAATTATTGCGGACGTTACAGTCAGCTCAAAGAAAAGTTTTGAAGACATCTAGTTCCAATTTGAAGAGAACGTCACTCGCTATCGTGCTATAGTTCTCTTTTTCTTTTTTGAAATCTTCCCATTTTTTTCTACGAAAAACTGTCGAAAAAGGGACAAAATCGATAAATTTCGTTCAAACCAACACCACTTTTTTTTACGTGTCATATCAATAATTTATTTAACTATTATACACCCAATAAGTAAACATAAAAACAAATCATTTTGTATTCGTCATGAATGTATATATTTATAAAAAAAATCGGACCGATTAGCTAATTTCAAAGTAAGAAAAATCGCGAAAATTAATGTTTTTTCGGAGGCTCATACTGAGACGATTCCTTAAAAGACAACGGCTGCGCTGGCTTGGTCATATCGTCCGAATGGACAAAAGCATTTCAGCTCTGAAAGTATTCAACGAAGTAACCGCCGGGGGAAATAGAGGAAGACCTCCACTCCGTTGGAGAGATCAGAGCCTGGCTGCAATTGGTGTCTTGAATTGGCGTCAAATGATGGGAGCGCTGTTGTTAACGCGGCTTTAACCGTGTAAGCGATGTCTACGCCAGTAACAAGAAGAAGAAGAGGGCTGTTCATAAATGGAGCGAGTGCTTAAAATGTATTCCTAGAGTCAGAAGCTGCATCTTAGAACTATATTTCTACTGGTCTAATAAACGCGAGCCTATGTCAGACAGGAGTGAATGAATGAAAATTATCCCA